CATTGACAATGAAAATTTCCCTTGATACTAAAACGGAAGTTAAGGTTTCCTCAAAGCTCCAGTTGCAATATCTATAATAATGTTAATATAATAAGTGGTATATCTACAAGTGGTTAAATTATTGCTGCATAATATTTAGGTGGCGCTCTTCTCATCTGTGAGCAATTTTTAAATGAGGATAAAAGCGGCCCGGAGGACGCTCTCTTTCAGTCACTGAACATGCTACTGTTATGTGAAGGAAAGGAAAGATCAGCAAAAGAATACAAACAGGTTTTGGAGAAGCATGGTTTTGTCGACATTCAAGTGAAACTAGTTCACCTTACTATGGATGCCATTTTATGCAGAAAGATTTAAATTGTTACTCGGCATGGGGCGGGGTAGGGGGAAGTGTTAATCATACCTTTGAAAGCTCAGTTCTCTGGGTTTCAGTAAGTTTTATTATTATATGGCTTGTTCTTGTAGTCGATATAACGCGCGCTCTGATTGGCTAATTGTAGGGCATTATTCTCCCGTATTGCCCATGGGCCGATTACGGGTTTGCAAAAACAAAGCAGAAAGCCATATAATTAACAACATATTAACCTCGAACATTCAGTCTTTACGGGAAAATCTCACACCTCGACCTTGCCGTATTGACCTCGCTGTCGCTCGGTCAATACGGCAAGACCTCGGTCTGAGATTTCCCGTAAAGACCTCGCTCTCGGTTAATAAGTAGTCAATAATTAAGTTAATAGGATTCGCGGTTTACGTTTTCAGGTTACGTTTTCCTAGGTTAATTAAAATAGGCTTGGAGGCTGGGCTTCAAAATGTGTTAGTCTAATGTGCAAATTGCAGTTATACATACATCTTGTATTGGTACAGTTTTGCTTGGAATTTATCACCGTTTCAAAGATCAGAAATTTTTGCTTGAGTTCAGAACATCATGACGAAGCTACATGCACCAGAGAAAGTTAAAGTGAAATTGTGTTTACGAGGTCAGTTGCCAAGAACGTTTATGGTTTTGGATAACTTTACTTCCATTCAGTAAACAGAACTTCAACGTGTCTATCTGATATAAGTTTAGCTTTTGTTAAATCAAGGTGATTCCTCACATTTGCATCGAGCATCCTTACTGCGCATAATTTATGGCGTCATTCGCGCGCGCTCGTGCACGCGCACATTAAAAACATGGCGGATTTCCCTTAATATTGAGTTCTGTCAGTTGAAAAATGGCTATAGCTCACTAACGAGCTCGGGCACCCCAAATTGTTTTCCAGTCATTTTAATCNATTTTTTTTCCAGTGATTTTGATCAACTAATCATTAGCTTTGCGTGAGAAAAGGCTGATCTGATTTCTATTGTTGAAAATTGAATAAATAAGGAAAATAGTAGCTGCACTGTAGTCTTTTTTATTTTGCAGTTTGGTAGCAGTGGCAAGCAATTTGGTTCCAATATTTTAACTAGGATTTAGCTGTCTGTCAAAATCAAACTTATAAAGTTTATTTGTGTCCGACACAAGTATTGACTGTAGTTCGAGGCGCGTTTTCATGAGTCTGGGCTCACAAAGAGTTAACAATTACTTGGAATGCGTTCTTGTAATAAACATTAAATAATGCTAAAATGGGACATTTTCAATGCCTCACTGCTCCTTAACGAACATGGGCACCCCCCTTTTAATTTATAATTAAAGTTCTCATATGATAAATATTCAGTGGACAAAGTTTGAACAAAAGTCTATTGACAGTTTTATTTGAGGGGAATTATCTTAAGAGTAAAGATATCTCAGGAAATCTAAGGATAAATGACTCATTTAAGATAACATGAAATGTAACTGTTGTAAAATATTAATTCTGACTACACTAACACGGGACATTCAATGTGAATAGTTTTTTTGAGGATGGGTCAGTCAGTCATCTGGTATAGATGTATTACGTCTTANTAATTCTGACTACACTAACACGAGACATTCAATGTGAATAGTTTTTTTGAGGATGGGTCAGTCAGTCATCTGGTATAGATGTATTACGTCTTACAACATAATCTGTATCCTTGCAAATTAAAACTACTGGTGCTAACAATAAGAACTTGTACTACGCCAGATACGAAAAACCACTAAAAAAAAACTGAACACCCTTTGGATGTGGCCAGAAATTATGTGGAAACGGTTCCTCTTCTAATGCAGCAGCACAAGACCCCGAGGAAAGGGTACAAAATCAGTAACGTAGAACATTTACAACTATTCATTCAAGCTGTAATAACAAAAGCTTAATAATAATAATAACAATAATAATAATAATAATAATAACAATAACAGTAACAATAATAATAATAATAATAATAATAATAATAATGATGATGATGATAATAAAGAGGACGAACAAGAGGACTGGCTAACGTAGAATGACCTAAATTTCCCGCCAAATGCCTAAATAGTCCCTAATCGTCCCATAACACCCCGTGAGCCCCTCAGTCGTGCCGTCAAAATAATAATTTCTGTCAAATTCGTCCCTCAATGGTCAAAAATTACATTAGTTGGGTCTTCTTGGTTTCATCAGTTTTCAGCTCTTTCTGCACAAACGGCCTCAAAAGTTCAGCTCGTTTATGAGTATCTACTTCCCTAAACTGTTGATCAAAGGGGAAAAAGGTTTAAATTTGGTATTTTAATGGCCTATTCGTTAGCGGTACCAGAAGTTTTAATCCGGGGGGAGACTCCCATGTGAAAAGATCGGGGATGCTCGTCTTGCTTAGGGATGTAAATCACAAATTATGATCTCGCTTAAGATGTTCGGACTGAACGCCCTTATTTTTAGTCTTCAAAGTATCTCTTACGGTGCGCTTGAAGAAAGAAAAAAAGGATCATCGTCATTTCCTTTATAAGTGTCATCTTTTAGGGGTCATAAAAATCTCGAGTCACGCTCGGATTG